TGCACTCCAGTCTGGGCGACAGAGTGAGACTCCAACTCAAAAAAAAAAAAAGAAAAGATTCAGTCTATGTATGATAAACTAAAAAATGAAAATAAAGCTAAAAATGTACTTTCTACATGGTTCCAGTTAGTATAAAATGTTTGATTTTTCTTAAGTTCTTTAGATTTTAAGAGCAATCTACTCATATAGTGCTATTATATCACAAATGTGAAAATTCTCAAAGAAATAGCTACTTGTTTTTATGATTTGAATATTGGTAAGGCATGCACTATTATTACCTAAGTCACTTTTATCTGTTCCTTGACACTGTTATGAGTATTTCATCTCTAAAAATCCAAATATACGTGGATTTGTTACCTCTAGTTCCATTCTCATGTACTGTCTCAAGATGCACTTTTTGGTTGGTTTGATCAAGGATGAATCTGCTTCACTAACTCCTATGAAGATCAAGAAGGAGGTAGTACAGGGCACGGGCTTCTTTTACGTGGAAAACTGTTAGCACTTGAACACATAAAGACCCATCTCTTTCCCTATCTCTGTTCTCACAGAATGTGTGACACAGGAGAAGGACTATTCACTTTTCAAACAAGGGAAGGAGAAATGATCTATCAGAAGGTCCATTCTGCGACACTGGCCATAGCTGAGCAACATGAAAGATTAATGCTAGAAATGGAGCAGAAGGCCCGGGTAAGGCCCCTTCCTTGGTCACCTAACGGCTTGGAAATGAATGTCGCTGAGGTCTGATGTACACCGTGTATATGGGGATCCATTCATGTCAGTGCCTTGGTGTCTAACCCTGCTCTGACCTCAAGGGCTTGCCCTAATTGCCAAACCAGTGAGGCTGCTGCTCTCATCTCTCTAACAGCCTACTCAAGTTCTCACAAAAGATGTTATTTGTGGCCACTAGCTGTAGGCCTGCACTCCGGGCATCTACCCATATACGACCTGTTGCCTTGGTAACCAGAGAGGGGTGGAGTGCATAGGGAGTGAAATAAGAAGCAATGTTGTCTGCATCTGTCCACATATAGTCCGACAAATGTGGGCTCAGAATAACAAGGAACATTAAGTTCCTACAAGAAAGGATCCCACTTTTCAGTTTTATCTTTATCCCAGGCACACTGAAACTTCTAGCTCCTTCTGTCTGTATTTCAGAGCTGATAATAAATAATAAAATGCTTGCAGAAGGAGCTTATACTATTTACCAGCAGAATGACATGTTTTGTATTTTGTTCTGAAACTATACTATAGTATAGTTTTGTTCTGAAACTATAGTATAGTTTTGTTCTGAAACTATAGTATAGTTGTGTTCTGAAACTATACTATAGTATAGTTGTGTTCTGAAACTATACTATAGTATAGTTGTGTTCTGAAACTATACTATAGTATAGTTGTGTTCTGAAACTATACTATAGTATAGTTGTGTTCTGAAACTATACTATAGTATAGTTGTGTTCTGAAACTATACTATAGTATAGTTGTGTTCTGAAACTATACTATAGTATAGTTGTGTTCTGAAACTATAGTATAGTTTCAGGGTCAAGTTAAGAAATAATGCAGTAAAGAATCTGAAGTAGTAAACTTTACAACTCACTGAAAAAAATTGCAAGCTTTAGTACTAATTTTTTGAAAAGCAAACAATGTATTATAATCTTAAGAGTTGAATTTTTTTTTCTTCAGGATTTATAGAGATGCATTAGATTTCACCTACGAGAGGTGCTTGAAAAATATCCCTACTTCTTTTTGGGAAGCATCAACATATCTATTCCAGTTTAAGACAATGAAGTTTTATATCTAACATTGTATTAGTTTCAATTTTTAAAATTGTACTTAGTATTTTGAAGTATAAGATAATTTTTTAAGAAAAAGAAAACAAAGATGTTTAACAAATGATCATATGTTACTCTTAATGCAGTTCTAATTTTTGCAATACTACATCTATATTTTTATCTCTCCATCCAGGATATGGATAAAAGAGCCTTTCTTAAACCAAAAGGGGTCAAGGGCAGATCAGGGTTATACAGGGCATTTGACCCTCTGTGGGAATGACTGTGTAGTTTGTGCATTAGTAAGACTATTAATATGTGACTGTGAGATTGATTGAAGAATCATCAATAATAGGTGACTGGTGAGACATAATCTTCTAGTAAGATTTTGGTGCATTTTATTTATTTGTTTGTTTATTTACTTATTGAGCCAGGGTCTCACTCTATTGCCCAGACGGGAGTGCAGTGACATGATCACGGTTTACCACAGCTTCAACCTCCTGGGCTCAGACAATCCTTCCACCTCAGCCTCCCTCTCAAGTAGCTGGGACTACAGGTGTGTGCCACCATGCCTGGCTAATTTTTGTATTTTTTGTAGAGATGAAATCTTGCTATATTGCCCGGTCTGTTCTCAATCTCCTGGGCTCAGGCAATCCTCTTCCTTGGCCTCCTAAAGTGCTGGGATCACCGTCATGAGTCTTTGTGCCATATCCAGAGTTAAATTTAAACCATTTTAACAATCATCTAATTAATATGACATTTTTCTAGTGGTTTAAATTAAGTGGAAAAATAAAACTACCAAATATCAAAGTATTTCAGAGACTTGCACATTCACTATCAGACCACATTTGCCATCCTCTTAGACTCCTTTTCAACCAGAATTAACCATTGTGATGTCACTTGCTATTAGTCAACAGTTGTAGTTCTTTTTTACTTATAACTGTTCTATTCGTTTATTTATTGCTAGAGAGAGGATCTCACTTTGTTACTCAGGGTATAGTGCAGCAGCACAATCATAGTTCACGGCAGCCTCCAACTCCTGGGCTCAAGCCATCCTCCCACCTCAGCCTCCTGAATACCTGGGACTACAGGCCCACACCACTATGACCAGCTAATTTTTTTTTTTAATTTTTTATTTATGTAGAGATGAAGTTTTGCTGTGGTGCCCAGGCCAATCTCATATCTTGGGCTCAAGTGATCCTCTTGCCTCAGGCTCTCAAAGTACAAGCATGAGCCACTATGCCTGGCCTACAGTTGTGCTAAACAAACAAATGTTCATAAGTAGAGTTAATAAAATTATATTTTAGTGACAGAAATTTCTAGAGCTCTTTCATACAACTGTAATTATCTGCCATAAAGAAGGGCACCCTGTTTGTGTCCTGACATGTCCCAATAACACTGGCTGTGAAATCTTGGACAAGTCATTTAACCTCTGATTGTCTTATTTTCCTTCGTCTGTAACAAGGTGAATAATAATGCTACTCATCTGGTTGTTGCGAGGTTCTGTGAATTAATCTATATAAAGTGCTGAGAATCAGACCAGATACACATAATATCATGAGTGTTCATTATTCGTGATTGGGACTAATTTATAAGACCTGAAATATTTGTGAAGACATTAAATTGCTATTTCCAACTATGGTTACGTAGCCTTCATGCCTTTTCAAGCATGACTAACAGTCTTGTGCCAAAATATTTGCTAAACAAATTTAATTTGCTTTGGTTGTCAATGTTGTCATGAGTGTAGCATGCCCTGGGCCGCTAAGAAGCAAGTCCAGGGAGTAGAGGCAAGCCTTTACAGTCAAGGGCTGAGATATGAGATGACACATCCACACTTACCGCAATCTCAGGCAGCCTAAAACCGGGCATACACCATGGGTCTGGGTGCCCATGCTCAGAGATGGAAAGGCAAGTGCAACAGACATTCAAATAGCAGGCTCAATAAAAAATTATCCCATAGCTAGTCCATTATTTGGAGTAAGCTGAGCTAATCTTTTGCCAAGGGCATGCTGCCTCGACTTGATAACTGTTCAAATTTCCGAAATTCTATGACCATAAGCAGAGGTGTCTAGTTCTCCCAGACACAAGTTCATTTTGTTTTAAGATAACTCTTCTACACGCACAAATCTCTCAGAAGAGAAGTTCCAACAAGTATGAAAGAGTGCTTCAGTACCCTCTATCTAACCCCCCATTTGCTATTTAAAATAAAAAGAAGGGCTGTGCTGCAAACTAGGCAAAAGTAACTTGATAGTTAGAATGGTACCAAAAAAAAACCCATGTAAGAAGTAAAAACATTACTTTCCACTTACTATGTCTCTGCTACAAAATACGGTGACACTACTAATTAGCTTTTTAGTTTTAAAACTGGGCCATGTCGATTAATATCAATCAGATAGGAAATGTTTGTAATGTTTTAATGTGATTTTTTAAAATTTTACACCAAACGTGGTGGCTCATGCCTATCATCCCAGCACTTTGGAAGGTCAAGACAAGAGAATTGCCTGAGCCCAGGAGTTTGGGACCACCCTGGGCAACATGGCGAGACTTCGTCTCGTTAATCAATTAAAAAAAATTAGCCTGACCCGGTGGCACATGCCTCTAGTCCCGACTACTTGGGAGGCTGAGGCAGAAGGATCACTTGAGCCCAGTATGTCAATGCACTCCAGCCTGGGCAATAGAGTTAGAGTCTGATTCAAAATAATAATAATAATAATAATAATAATAATAATAATAATAATAATAATAAATAAATGCTTTTGCAAGATTGAATTCCAACCGAGCTATGTAAGCAATGAATGTCCCAAACACAGTTCAGGCAACTGAAGCATTTTCTCTCATCCTTTTAAAGAGAGGTAAGTTAAGAGTGTTATTGGCTTTATAGATAAACAAACTTGAATGAGAAATAATGTCTCAACAGCCATTTTTTTTTTATTTTTATTTTGAAATTGTGGGGCACAATTCAAGGTTAGGTATACAAATGTTCATTGTGCAGGTACTCTTGTTGATGAGGTATGTCTCCTCTTCCCCAGGTGAATATCGACTACTATCAATCCCAGCAATTCCCCCACCCTCTCCCCACAGTTTCCCGCTACTTTCAATCCCCTTCCTATAGTAATACGGTAGTTGTTCAAGGTCCACTTATGAGTAAGAACATGTGATACTCAGCTCTTTGTTTCTGTGAGAGATCACTCAGTATTATAAGATTTAATTCCATCCACATTGCTACAAAGTTCATGATTTTGTTCTTCTTTATGGCTGAGTAATATTCCAATGTGTATATGTACCACATTTTTTTATCCAGTCCTCTTTTGATGAGCAGCACGGACAACCATTTCTTACTATAAGAAAACGAATTTAATATGATCTTTTGATATCGTATGTTCATAAAATCTTGTTTTGCCCTTGTTTATAACCTTCTTTCTTGGGGGCCACATGAATAAACATGTTTTGTCTTACCTCCATAATCTAAGTTAAGCTATATTTGTATTCTTTCTTTTTTTTTTTGAGTCGAAATCTTACTTGTCACCCAGGCTGGAGTGCAGTGGCATGCTCACGGCCACCACAGCCTTGACCTACTGGGCTTAGGCGATCCTTCCACCTCAGCTTTCCAAGTACCTGGAAATATAGACACACGCCACCATACTCGGCTAGTTTTTGTGATTTATTGTAGAGACAAGGTCTCACCAAGTTGCCCAGGCTGGTCTTCAACCTCCATACTCAGACAATCCTCTCACTGTGGCCTCCCAAAGTGCTGGGATTGCAGGTTGAGCCACTGTATATTTTTATTCTTGCTTGAAGTATCTGATATCCAGAAAAATTTCTCAACATGTGAATAAAACCGTTGCATTTTCCACCAAGCATAGTAACTGGACAAAAACAAAACAAAACAAAAACGCTAAAATTGCAAGACAGTTAAAAGTGTGT